ATAAATTCGGAAATCTCACCGTGAGAACTGTAATTGTTCGCTTTAAACTACTTCTGGCATTCAAATACAAAATATCTTTGTCGAATCTTGCATATGAAAGCTAACCTTCTGCACCGATTATGAACTTATACTTTTTATTTTTCTATTTCACACATATTAATATTGCAGTGATATAAAGAATCTGAATATCGGAACGCATAAATGAAACATTTTCTTTTAAATCACAGGAAATGAAATAGACATATAAGGCTCAATAGAATATGAAAAATGTTAATCAAAATATCGAAATGTTTATAAAATATCTGAATACAATTAAAAATATCTAAATGTTAATAAAATATCTGTCGCGACGGAGCGCGAAAGAGAAGCGCGAGAGAGACGATTCGTAAGGGACACCAAAGTGATATGTGAAAACAACCTTAAATCTGTACTTAGCTGTATGTGTATAAGATGTACACAAATATCATGCGCTATCGAATCGGATGATGCAACTTGACTTTCGTATATCTCATTTGGAGGATCTCCTCCCCTTTCTGTTTGTATTATATGAATGCTTTGTGTTTCGATATATAATAGTGTTAAGACAAAATAAACGCCGAAAATATCTAAACACAATAAAAAATATCTAAATTTTAAGGGCTAAGATTTTTCCGTTCAGATTTGAAGTTTGGGAAATTTAAACTCCTTGCATTGGTGGACAAGTTTATTAAGAAGAAAACTAAAAAATGATGACATTAAAACGAAACAAATGATCAGCCTAGTTTCGTTCACATTGTTGCTTTTGCATGGTGCATCCACTCTTAACGACTTTAGCATCAATGCAGATGCATCATTCACGTGCACAATTTTGAACCAGTACATGACATCTTCCATCATATTTAACACCATCATTGGTTTATTCACGATCGAAACATTATCGTGCTGATCTCCACTTTGATTGAAAATCATTACATCTTTGCTTTGGGATAGACTGATCAAAAGCTGCTCCAAGAAACTGTTCAAAAAATCATCCTATTGTTGAAAACTCTGTTCATATGTACCTTTCTCTTGAAAATTGTCTGTTACTGTAGCTGAGATCAATGTCAAACCAGACCAACGAACATATCGTGATATGCTTTAGTACATCTGTATGGGAATTTGACATTGTACGGAACTGCGGGAAACACTAATTCTCCTGCATTCACACTGATTTCACGGACATGATAATGATCAAAGTAAAATGGATTCTTGCTTTGATTACCATTAAATGCTTCCTTCCAAGTAATGGCATTACTCTCCTTCGCGGGATCCTATCTGTGAAAATAACTGCAGGACCAACTTCATAGCGACCGGGACTAACATAAAGTAATTGCATTGAACTGTGGCGCAAAACATATTTTCCATTGTTCTTGTTAAGGGTTTTCATAAGTGCTACATTTAAACCACTATAAGCATTAATGGTCTTCACATAGAGTCGCATATCTATAACCTCGAGTCTATACTCGTCATATGTTCAAACCATCAGTATTCTCAAAATGAGCCATACGCTCTTATCGAATTCATGATTGACAACACTGGGGTTATGTGGTTGATAAAAGATCAACTGCGCAATCAGAAATGTTGCGACGATATCGAACATTTCGGCAAGACGCCTCCTCAGGAACATCCTTTTGAATCATTAATTTTAGAAGCAATGGCTGAAGAAGACACGTCGTTACAGGCGCAGATAAATATTCTAAGGAAACCGATTGTGTGCATCGTTCTCTTTACTGACGTGAGTAACGAGCGCACCGATGAATTGATTATGTTAAGACATTTAACATCTTTTTCTTGAATCAACCTGTTCTGGCAGTCAAAATATTCAAAACCGAACAACAGCGCTCACAATAGCTTTTTATCCATGGTTTTATAACAATAAGGCTCCAGAACAGATGCAGATAAGAGTCGAGTTCACCACAACGCAATTCAAGAAGATTACTTACGCATGGAACAGATCAAACAATGTTCACTGAGCACTTATTCACCCTGTGATTTGCAACAGGATTTTATTACTCCGCGAATTAAGTATTCCGCGTATAATAATTTAGTTTACTGGAGACATTTCAGAATTTTAGTAGGCCGAAATCATCTTGTCGAATTCAGCACTAATATTTTTCAGGTATTATGCTTCGATTATTTCTTCGTCCCATTTAACTAACATTTTCCGCTGAAGGTCTAACCATCAGAATCCGGAATACACGAAAATCTTAATATTTATGATAGCTGCTAATTGACTGATTTGGTCTGAAATGCTTGAAAGTGTTTAAAGAAGATTCACGAGTGAGTTTATTTTCAACCTATTTATTCAGTACAACGAACG